GGCATTCAAAAGTTAAACTTGTTTAAAAATATTGCCAGTGTTCTTGAGTTCTAATTAAATTTCTTTCTAGGAGAAGAATGAGAACTTTATAGAGATATTAAATAATATTCCTGATAATTTCCTCATTTAAATATTTTCAAACTAACAACCAAAGTGTTCTGGTGGAAACAAGGTTGAGCAGTAAATATTATAATGTGGTGTGATGAAAGGTCCCCTAATAGGCTTCCTCATCCCATCTCAAAGATAATTTTTCATTTTTTCAAAAGTCTGCAATTTGTAGCTGTGCATAAATGTGTGTGTGTGTGTGTGTGAGTGTGTGTGTGTGTGTGTGTGTGTATGAGAGAGAGAGAGAGAGAGAGAGAGAGAGAGAGAGAGAGAGAGATATTTTTCAAAAAATCCCCTTTCTATTTACTTAAACTTGATTGTTGCTTCTGTTTTGGCATATGATTTTTCTAATCAAATTAATGAAAAATTATTTAAATTAGTGAATACATTCCATAATTGAGCCAATAAAAAACCTGGAAGGGGCCTGTGACAATAGAATCCAAAAAAATTGTTCTGCCCCTGGCTACTTTGTACTAGATGTGAGACTGTCAGCAAATCATTGAGCCTCTGGAGATTTCAATTAGCCCATCTGTAAAATATGTTTTAAAAATTCAAGATGGTGGTTAAGTGGTTGAAAATCACTTCTGATTTTGACCTGTCTTTTTGTGTTGAAGCTAGAGGAAGTTACCTTTTCATGCACAATAGACTGTGAACTAATAGTTTTATTAGGGGCACAGGAATCAACATTCACCTTATAGCAGTGAGAAAGTAGAGACCTGGCTTCATTTCAGAAGTGGAGGACCCTTTGACAAAACACCCATTGTGAAAAGATAAACTTACACAAAGACCCTGACTCATGTATTTACTGTAGAGTCAGAAGTCTATTTATCATGCCAAATTTAGTTGTGTATATTTAGGTATTAAGTTATATGCTAAAAGATACTAGGTATATCATATTCTGTGATCAATAAAACCAGAATTATTAACAAAAAGCAATAACACAAAACTAACAATTTCTTGAAAGAAATAAGCAATTAAAAACTGTTTGGTCAGAAGCAATTAAAACTTCAATGATGAGGCAGTTAGAAAATAATGACACTACTCAGGGGGAAGAAAACCCTCCTGAAATGAAACAAAGCAGTACTCAGAGGCAAATATATAGTGTTAAATAATGTTACTTTGAACTACAAAAAATAAAACAGAGAATACTTTATGAATTTTTTTAAATATAATATATAAACATAATATAAGGGGAATTGGATGGGATTAAAAAAACAAAGTTTAAAGAAACAGCAAAAGGCAGAGTTCATATAACCATGAAGTGGTTCTTAAAAATAATAATTTAAAAACCTTTGGAAATATATATAACTAAGAAAAAATATGAATCACAGTTATTTAAACATGAATAAAGTTGAAATGAAATACAAATTTCAATAAAAATAGAAATTATAAGCTTATTCTATATCAACCTTAAAAGCAGGAAAAAAATTCAGTGACTACTTGTAATTTTGGAATAAAAAACTGTAATATCTGAAATGGAAAAAATTGCAAAAAAACATTAAAAATTACTCCTCAAAATGTTTTTATCAGTAAGATTTTTAAATCTTCAAGAAGCAAATTCTTGTTTTCATGAATATAAATTCATGACAAGTATTGCAATTAAAATTTCTGAAGGTCACATGAATCAATTTAAAACCTAACAGGAAATATCACAATAAATATTATTTATAGACCAATCCCTTTTATTAATATATAGGCCAAAAGTCTAAGGAAAATATAGCAAATTAAATTTAGCAATATCTTAAAAGAAAAATTCACCTCAACCAGGGAAGGCTAAGTGTCAGGATTAATAATTAATATTGACTACTTATTACAGAAATATATCAAAAGAAAAAAATCTCACTAGAGATGGATAAAAACCATGAAAAAAGTTAGCAACTATTCCTGGGGGAAAATATTAATAAACTAGAAATAAAATAACCCTCATTATGTAAGAACATGTATCTTAATCAGCCAATGTTATGTGAAATTCCAGAGGCATTCTTGCCAAAATGGGCATATTTTTTAATTTGATAGTATAGTAAAAATGATTGATGGTGGCTACTTTTTCCAAAAATCAAACAGTTTTTCCAGGATATTTATAAAAACATATATTTATCTTCATTATTTCCAGAAACTTCATTAAAATAACAATAAAAATTCTAAAGTTTAAACCTACAAGTGAAGGAGAATAGAAGAGATAATTACAGAGAAGGAATGCCGATAAATTTTTGGAAGATGAAAAGAAGCTATAGGAGGCTTGGATGAATTTAGGCCCATAGAGGAAACTCAATGTCTACAGAGAGAGTAACAGTGAGACACAAGGTATTTTGTTCCCCCAAGCTCTTCAGGATCCAGGGATTATAGGTGAGCATGAGGGAAAGGGCTGAGAATAATGGTTAGTTGAAAGTTCATTTACGTGGTAGTTAGGTCATCATCCTCTCTCTGGCCCCACCTCGTTATGCAATTAGGAGACTATTGCTCTTGCCCAGCAGGGTTGGGAAGTTGATTATTTGAAGAAATTAATCCATAGGATTTTGAGACTTTGGAGACACCAACCAGGGATATGGGAAGCTGTGGGTGAGGAATGGGGTTGATAAATAGGGGATTAAGGAAATGTCTACATACAGAATGTGAGAATTGTCATCCTCCTCCCACCTCCTGGCCAGAAGGTCTGATCTTGCCAAAGAACTTCGAACTTTAGAAAGAGAAATAAATCCTCACAAGCAAGAAAACAAGACGACAATAAAAGCAAACCATAAAACAACTCAGCAGGATACATTTAACGCAGGGAACAGAAGAAACTTTCAAAGACTTAAAATGAGTCTCAGAAAGATAAGAAATACATGACATCAATTAAGCAAGTAGAGGATACTATGTTTGTTCTATCATAGATCCTTTTTTTCTGCCTTAGACTCAATCAGCCTTCTCTCATTCTTTCTTTCTTTGACTTTGTTCACTCTGACTCTCCATTTGTTAGTCCCACACAGTCTTTATGCCACCAATAATCCCAGGTTTCCGTCTTGTGGCTTCTTCAGCGGGGAGGCCTGAGGCTGAGAAATCCCATCTCCGCATTCCTCCTGGGTTGCTTGTGGACATGCTCCAAGGTTAGACCAGGCCCACAATAGTCTCAATGTAGATGGATTTGCTGCTAACTCTAGTCCAGCACAGAAGGCTATAGGCCTGTGTTTTCATTGCCTTAGCCTCCAAGATTCTCCTGGAGACTGGGAAGAGGAAAAAGGTAAATGAGACATTTCTAATTTCAGAAATGTAGGAAGAACATTATGAAAGGGGTAAATAGGGAAAGGAGATGTATTTTCAGGTAAGTGGTGGAGATAAATGCTGAACTGTTCCATCTTTCTAAGAATGTTTTGAATGTCCTTCTCACAGAAGGAAGTAGAGACAGAGGCAGACCCGTGAGCCATGCTGTATGTAGGATGACTGCAGATCATCATCAGTAGAAGTGATGAGTGGAGAAGGCATCATAATTTTATGTTTGGGAGGCTAAGCCATATGTAAGGGGCAAGTGTAAATAAGTTGTGGACTAGTATAATTCAAAAAGCTTTTCCGCTGCACATTTTGTAGTTTGCATTTGTTTCACTTATTTATTGTTCATGATATCACACTAATGTTTTAAATTATATAATTATAAAAATATAAAGTTCAAACAACACTTTAAAATTTTTCCTTAGGAAAATCAGGAATTCACCTTCTCTAGTCAGAATGTCTGGGATTAAATTTTCCCTTAACGGCTTGCTCACCGTAGGACCTTGGACAAGTATTTTAACATCTTGTGCTTTAGCTGCCCCACCTGTAAAATAATAGTAGCACCTAGCACATGTCGTGTGAGGATCAAATAACTATTATTATTGTTCTAAACATTTTGGTCTCACCTCATTTTTACTTCGCCGTGAGATGCTGCCTAACTCTGGTTGTCATTTGTTATATCTTAACCTGTCTTTTTACGTCTCATGTTTTCACATGCATGCACCAGTGAAAATGCTGCCCACGTAAATCAGTGATGATGAGCACTTGAATTCCGTAAACAGAGTACCATTAACATATTGCCCTCTCTAATGAGAACAGCAATATCTTCATTTTAACATAGGTACTTTTCACTGTGAATATATGTAAAATCCTTCTCTTTCTCTATTAACAAATAAAACAGGCAGAATTTGGTTGCAATCCTAGCCGTTAGGGAGAGGTTCAACCATGATCGCTAGTGTAATCTTATGAGTAATCGTTCTAAAAAGCCACTTTCTAAGTTGAGGTGGGCAGCGATGTAAAGGACACAGCTGTTAATGAGTAAAAGCTGAAATTTTATCACGTTAATTTTATGTTTCATAAGCTGGCTATCTATTGCCACTATTCCTCATCTATTTTCTTTTGAGGGAGCCAACTGAACACTAAGTTCTTGTGGATGTATTTCTTTAAAAAGTAGTGGTGCCATACCACATACTGTCATTATTTAACTGTGACATTCTGACAGTGTGTCAGAAAAAAGTGGTGGCGGTCTGAAATTTACATGCCTAAGTTGGTAACTAAAACTAATTTTGTCAGGGAGTATTTTATAATTACCAAATTAAAGAACTGTATAATTAAAGTAAAATGAGCTCTGCACGTGCCTAGAAACATAATCTCTTAATGCTTTTGTTAGTTTTTCTCCAATGACATTATTTTGGAATAAATATATATATATATATATATATATATATATATATATATATGATTTATTTCAGAAATAGCAAAAGAGTAAGTTTGTGTTCCAGAGATTTGCAATCATTTTGAGAAATCCATGAACAATTTACTATGCTGAGTATTTTCACATTCAGTTGAGTGACTTTTAAAAGAGGAACAGCAAATTAACCAACTTCAAATCCCCCCCTCCTTCTCAAACTTCTGTATTTTATTTATAGCAGAGGAAAACCTTTCTTCATTGCTTCCTGTCAGCTGTGCAGAGGCAGCTCTACTGAAACTGGGTAAAAGAATATTCAGAATACTTTTGAGCACTTTGAGTTAATCTCTGTTAAATTGATTAAGATGATTGTTTTTCTAGCTAAATTGATGTGGAGCTTAAAAGCAATTTATTTTTACAACCCTTCTATATAAAACTTCAAAAAAATTCTTTCAGTAGGGGGAATTTATTTTTACAGATTACAAGTGTAATACATTTATTTTTACAGATTGCAAGTGTAATAACTATTATTTATGTTTTTGGATTCTAATGTTATAATAATATGAATTCTTAGTTTCCTAATCTCGAGTTTTCCTCACATGGGCATTTGCTCACTCTTCAGCCAGTCTGGTCATCTTGTAACAGTGGGAGACTTGAGAAGGGTGTATGTTCTATAGTGAACTTTATTACCATTGGGCAGAAAGCTTAGTCGCCATACTGGAAAGGTTTCATTCTTGTGGGTGTATTTGAAGGAGCCTATTTAGGAAATAATTGGGCATGTGGCAATTATTTGAACCACATTCAAGAAGGACGGTACATGTTTATGAAACCATCTCTCTTTCTGAAACTTGTAGGTAGTGGAAAGTACCCTATATGTTTGTGAAGAAATTATATAGCTGTGAATGATGCATAAATCAATTAACATCTCTGGACCTCAGTTTTCTCATGGACAAAATATAAATATTGCTACCTTCTCTAGTGAGCTCACAGTCTTTAAATTAGAACATGATATGATCAATATGAAAATATTATACTTGAAAAGTGTAAAATACTATGCAAGTATAAGGGATTATTATTTTTCATGTGGTTTTGTCATTTATTCTGTTAATATGGTGTCTTTCATTAATTGATTATCAGATGGTAAACCAGTCTTGCGTTACTGGTAAAAATCCCACTTGGTGAAGGTATACAATACTTTTAATATATTAATGGACTCTGTTTGAAGAATATTGGTCTACAATTTCCCTTTCTTGTAATGCGTTTGTCGGATTTTGGTGTCAGGGTAATTGTGGTCTTACATAATGAATTGGGAAGAAGTCACTTGACTTCAATTTTCTGAAAGAGTTGGCAAGTAGTTGCCATTATTTTTTCCTGAAATATTTGGCAGAATTCAACAGTAAACTCTACCTGGGCCTTGAACTTCCTTTGTGGGGAGATTTTAAATTACAAATGCAAATTCTTTAATAGATATAGAACTATTCACACTACTCATTTCTTCTTGAATTTGGTAGTTTGTATTTTTCAAGGAATTTGTCCATTTCATCTAAGTTATCAAAAATATAGGCATAAAGTTGTTGGTAATATTCTTATTACACTTTGAATATCTGTAGAATCTGTAGTGATGTCACAACTTTTACTCCTGATATTTTTAATGTCTTCTCTCTTTTTTTTCATGATCAGTCAGACTAAAAGTTTACCAGTATTACAGATCTTAAATAGTCAGCTTTTGGTTTCATTGATTTTCTCTATTATCTTTCTGTTTTCTATCTCAGTAATTTCCATCCTGATGTTTATCACTGCCTTTCTTCTAGTAGCTTTGGTTTTCATTTGCTCCTCTTTCTCCAGTTTTGTAACATGGAAGCTGAGGTAACTGATTTGAGATGTTCCTTATTTCCTAATGTCTGTATTTAATGCTATAAAATTTCCCCTAAATACTGCAAATACTGCTGTACCTATATCCCACAGATTTTGATGTGTTGTTTTTTCAATTTGATTCTGTTTAGAATACATTATTTTGAAGTGTACCAGGTGATGATTTGATATACATATACATTGTGAAAGAATTCCTCCCATTGAGGAAATTAACACATCCATCACTTCACACATTTAATTTTTTTTTTTTTGGTGAGGATGTTTAAATTCTACTCTCAGCAAATTACTATTGTACAATACAGTGTTACTAACTATAGTCACCATGTTATACATTAGCTCCTCAGATCTTATTCATCTGATAATATCTTATAACTAAACATTTGCACACTTTTACCAATTTCTGCTTGTTTTCCCCACTCCCAGTCATTTCTACTCTGTTTCTATGAGGATTTTTTTTTCTTCCACATATAAGTGAAACCATGCAGTATTTGTCTTTGTTTGACTATTTCACTTAGTATAATACCCTCCAGGTTCATCATATATATAGGATTTTCTTCTTTTTTAAGACTGAATAATATTTCACTATTTGTGTACCTATATGTCTATATATCTATATCACATTTTCTTGATTCAGTCATTCCTCATTGACACTTAGGTTGTTTCCATACCTTGGCTATTGTGAATAATGCTGTAGTGAACATAGAAATACAGATATCTCTTTGGGATAATGGTTTTGTTTACTTTGGATATATACCCAAGAAGTGGGATTGCTGGATCATATGATAGTTGTATTTTTAATTTCTTGAGGAACCTCCATACTGTTTTCCATAGTGACAGTACCAGTTTACATTTCCACCAACAGTGCACAAGGGTTGCCTTTTCTTCACATTCTTGCCAGCATTTGTTATTGTTTGACATTTTGATCATAATCATTCTAACAGGTGTGGCTTGATATCTCATTGTGGTTTTGATTTGCATTTCCCTGATGATTAGTGATGCAGAGTACCTTTTATGTACCTGTTGGTCATTTTGTATGCTTTCTTTGGAAAAAAAAAATGTGTATTTAGTTCCTTTAGTCCATTTTTTTTTCTTTTTAAAGATTTTATTGGGGAATTGGGGAGGGGGACCAGACAAGTTGTTGTTCTTTGTTGTGGAGGCACCAGTCGCCATCTGGCTTTCTATTGGCAGCTCGTGGCCTCTAAGTTCAATGTGCTGTGTTTAATCTTAGTTGCAGGTGGGCGTAGCCACCATCCCATGCGGGAGTCAAACCAGCAGCCTTGTTGTTAAGAGCACACGCTCTATCCACTGAGCCATCCAGGCAGCAGCTCAGTTCAAGGTGCCGGGTTCAGTCTTAGTTACAGGTTAGCATAGCCCACCATCAAACAGGTAACCTTGTTGTTACAGCAGCTGAGCCATCCTGCCACTTGTTGGTAGGTCAGTGACAGCGCAGCTTGGATGCAGTGTCACTGGCCCATGTGGGAATCGAACTGGTGACCCCGTTGCTCAGAGCCTGCACTTTTAAGCCAACTCTTAAACAACTGAGCCACTCTGCAGGCCCTCTTTAGCCCATTTTTAAATGGAATTATTTGTTTGTTTTTTGCTATTGAGTTGTACGAGTTCCTTGTATATTTTTAACCCCTTATCAGATATGTGCTTTGTGAATATTTTCTTTCATTCCATAGGTTGCATTTTTATTTTGTTGATAGTTTCCTTTGCTGTGCAGAAGTTTTTTAGTCTGATGTAGTTCCACCTGTTATTTTTTTGCTTTTGCTGCCTTTGCTTTTGGTATCACAGACTACTGTTTTATTTTCCCTTTTGATTTGTTCTTTGACCCATGGATCTTTTATAAGTATGATTTTCCAAATAGTTGGAAATTTTCCCAGATATCTTTGTTAGTGATTTCTAATTTATTTCAGTGGGTCAGAACATAATGTGTATGAATTGAATATTTTAAATTACTCAGAGTTGTCTTATAATGCAGAATATGGTACCACATTCGTAGGCAAATGTTCCATGTGTACTTAAAAAGTGTGTGTATTCTGCTGTTGAATTTTCTATAAATGTTACTAAGTTCGGGTTAGTTTATAGTGCTATTCAAATCTTCTATATTCTTATTGATTTTCTATCTACTTTTTCTATCAAGAGTATTGAAATCTCCTACTATAATTATGGATTTTTCTATTTCTCCTTGAAATTCTATCAGTTTTCTCTTCATATACTTGAAAGCTCTTATAATATTGACAGTTGTTGGTAATATTCTTTGCTCTGAAATCTACTTTTGCCTCAAGATTTCTTTATATTAGTGTTAACTAGATATATCTTTTTCAATCCTTTCAGTTTTAACCTATTTGTTTCGTTATATTTATAAGTTGTATCTGAAGGCAGCATATAGTTGAATCTTGCATTGGTATTCAATTTGTCAGTCTCTGCCTTTTAATTGGATTATGTGGCCACTTACATTTAGTGTGATTATATGGCTAAGTTTAAATCCATCACCTTGCTATTTATTTTCTACTTTTCCTATCTGTTTTTTGTTTCTTTTTTCTTTTGTACACTTGTTTTGATTAATTGATTTTTGAAAATGACTCCAATTTATTTTATGTTAGTTAGCTTGTCATCTACAGCTCTTGGTTTTATTATTTTATCCCTTTTTTCATGGTTTAAAATTAGAATTATATTTGTGCCCACTTTCATGGTCAGACTGTAAAATATTTCAGAAGCACGTAGAAAGCTCCCTATAAATTACTTATTTTATTATTATTTTGCTATTATTTTCATGTTAAAAATCACATGAAACAATATCTCACTTTTAAATGCATGTCTACTTAATTTGATTCATTTTCTATTTCTGTTAAGCAAGCTTAATATTTATGTTATATGCAATCAAACTGTTACGTGAATCTACTGAAGAGAGAAGCATCTTGTATCTTGAAAGACAAGTGGTAACTGTTAATATAATCAATTAGGTAAAGTTTATCTGGGTGCATTTTTTCAATGATAATTAATATGGTGCTCAAAATATTCTTGAGGGAATGAAAGTCCCTATCTAGACAAAACATTCCCAGTAAGAATTCACAAAGTCATTTATTTGTGATTTGCATTACCTGTTTTCCCTACTTACATAACATCTCCTCCTGTAAAGGAAGATGCAGATTTAATTCTTATCTTTCTCAATAAAAGCTGGACTGCTTAATCAAAAGAAACTCAGCATCATGGGATTTTAACATATCTCTATGGTATCTTACTCATCAGTTTTTGATGCTTAGGTCACTGAAGTTAGCCACTGGGAAACATTTTGGCATTCCCTAAGGTGAAATATTGAAACTGTTTAAGAGTAAATACTTCATGTCTTATGAACTTTGGACAAGGGAGGTAATTAGTAACTTGCTATTTAAAACCGCTAAGAGAATTTATGGTATATAAATTCTTAAT